TCTTAGATTGTAACACCTAGGTTGAAGAGTCGTGGGATGACAACAATCTCACTCCCCGGGAGATCTCTTAGATTGTAACACCTAGGTTGAAGAGTCGTGGGATGACAACAATCTCACTCCCCGGGAGATCTCTTAGATTGTAACACCTAGGTTGAAGAGTCGTGGGATGACAACAATCTCACTCCCCAGGAGATCTCTTAGATTGTAACACCTAGGTTGAAGAGTCGTGGGATGACAACAATCTCACTCCCCGGGAGATCTCTTAGATTGTAACACCTAGGTTGAAGAGTCGTGGGATGACAACAATCTCACTCCCCGGGAGATCTCTTAGATTGTAACACCTAGGTTGAAGAGTCGTGGGATGACAACAATCTCACTCCCCAGGAGATCTCTTAGATTGTAACACCTAGGTTGAAGAGTCGTGGGATGACAACAATCTCACTCCCCAGGAGATCTCTTAGATTGTAACACCTAGGTTGAAGAGTCGTGGGATGACAACAATCTCACTCCCCAGGAGATCTCTTAGATTGAAACACCTAGGTTGAAGAGTCGTGGGATGACAACAATCTCACTCCCCAGGAGATCTCTTAGATTGAAACACCTAGGTTGAAGAGTCGTGGGATGACAACAATCTCACTCCCCAGGAGATCTCTTAGATTGTAACACCTAGGTTGAAGAGTCGTGGGATGACAACAATCTCACTCCCCGGGAGATCTCTTAGATTGAAACACCTAGGTTGAAGAGTCGTGGGATGACAACAATCTCACTCCCCGGGAGATCTCTTAGATTAAAACACCTAGGTTGAAGAGTCGTGGGATGACAACAATCTCACTCCCCAGGAGATCTCTTAGATTGTAACACCTAGGTTGAAGAGTCGTGGGATGACAACAATCTCACTCCCCAGGTGATCTCTTAGATTAAAACACCTAGGTTGAAGAGTCGTGGGACGACAACAATCTCACTCCCCAGGATATCTCTTAGATTGTAACACCTAGGTTGAAGAGTCGTGGGATGACAACAATCTCACTCCCCAGGTGATCTCTTAGATTGTAACACCTAGGTTGAAGAGTCGTGGGATGACAACAATCTCACTCCCCGGGAGATCTCTTAGATTGTAACACCTAGGTTGAAGAGTCGTGGGATGACAACAATCTCACTCCCCAGGAGATCTCTTAGATTGTAACACCTAGGTTGAAGAGTCGTGGGATGACAACAATCTCACTCCCCAGGAGATCTCTTAGATTGTAACACCTAGGTTGAAGAGTCGTGGGATGACAACAATCTCACTCCCCAGGAGATCTCTTAGATTGTAACACCTAGGTTGAAGAGTCGTGGGATGACAACAATCTCACTCCCCAGGAGATCTCTTAGATTGTAACACCTAGGTTGAAGAGTCGTGGGATGACAACAATCTCACTCCCCAGGAGATCTCTTAGATTGTAACACCTAGGTTGAAGAGTCGTGGGATGACAACAATCTCACTCCCCAGGAGATCTCTTAGATTGTAACACCTAGGTTGAAGAGTCGTGGGATGACAACAATCTCACTCCCCAGGAGATCTCTTAGATTGTAACACCTAGGTTGAAGAGTCGTGGGATGACAACAATCTCACTCCCCAGGAGATCTCTTAGATTGTAACACCTAGGTTGAAGAGTCGTGGGATGACAACAATCTCACTCCCCAGGAGATCTCTTAGATTGTAACACCTAGGTTGAAGAGTCGTGGGATGACAACAATCTCACTCCCCGGGAGATCTCTTAGATTGAAACACCTAGGTTGAAGAGTCGTGGGATGACAACAATCTCACTCCCCGGGAGATCTCTTAGATTGAAGACATGAGACGGAAACTAAAAGTGAACTGGCGTCAAAACAAAAGGAAGGGCAGGGAGATCCCGCTGACCAAGGCCGTCTATCACTCCCCTGGAGCCTAATGCTCTCCTCCCCAACCCCCTCCCCCTCCACAGTTCAGACTTGGTAAATTCTGAATGTGTGGGTCATGCCAGTCATGGTATTGTTATTTTATTCAGGAGCTTACAATGAACATTGGTAATAAACAGAATTACATTATGAAATTGTTAGAACATTGTTGACATTCCTAACTTTATCATCTTTGATAGCACGGACATAAAATTGCATTATAAAGTTATAGTATTTGAAAATGTTAATTTCAATAGAAGGATTAACTGAGTAAGTTGTTACATTTTTGTAAATAATGTGTCAGTGTTAAAAGAAAAATAACTTTATTGATATTTCAAAAGGTATTATGGTTTGTTATTTCTAAGACCGGAAAATGTCACATCGCATGGCGTAATGTTACTAACATCGCATTCCGCATATTAAAAACTGTTACAATTTGTTTGTAAAATCATTTGTGACATGAAGTTGTAAGCACATAGGTTAAGACCCCTTCTTTTGGCTGCTCTAAAGGTAAAATTATCGAACAGCAGTGGAGAGATGGGCCAAACGGAATACCAGGTTGTCTTATAAATACCTAATGAGATTGGCCAGACTGTATGACTGGATGTTATATTAATAGATTTGCGTCATTAGATTACAAATTAAATTATTTTGCCACAACTATTTGTCAATTGTTTTTTTGTTTTTTCATTTATATTTTAAAATTGAAATTGCAAATTAGAAAATACTATGTCACATTTAAAGATAAATTAAATGAAGATAAAAAGCAATCAAAGATCATTCATTTTATATCTAAAAATTTGAAGATTTACAGCTTAATTTTTAGAGAAATGCTAATCGTATACAATAACAAAGTGTTTTATGGCTCCAAGAAAATACACTTAAATAGAATGCCAATAATTCAAAAGACTATATTTCCTGGTCCTGATAGGTAGACCCATTCGATTCCGACACGATCTGATCAGGTTTTAATGGATCGTTAGTTATTTTTAATGTTTTGAAAATGTAGCGGAGACATCTATAAATATCTGACATTGAAATTATGATAATCCATATTGCCAGGATGGTCACCCCTGACACACCTATCACGTGACTAGATAACCTATGATCCCACGCACTGACTAGTGTCCGTTTATAGGCGAACAAATCTTTCTTCCTCAGCCTTAGATCGACGTCAACAAACTGTAACCATGGCGACGCGGGAGTCGTAGAAGGGTTTACACGATTGGAGCTAAGCATATCACAAATGGCTCGAAGCTCTGACGTCACTAGACCCGTCAGGTTCCGCAGAACTCTGTCAACTTCGTCATTTAAAGCTGAGGTGTCCAGTCGAGCGTTGAGGGATTCAATGGTGTCCAGTTGAGCTTTGAGGGATTCAATGGTGTCCAGTTGAGCTTTGAGGGATTCAATAAATGTAACTTTTCACTGGATCCATTCATTGCTTTTAGTTTTCTAGTCTTGAACTGAAAATGACTTGCCATACTCATGCATACACAATATGAAACGTACGTGGGCAGACTGCCCTGCCAACCACATTTCCCACGTCATTTTCTATATGTCTTACAATATATCTGTTGATAATTTATGATTTTAACGTCCACTGGTCCCCTGTTAATTGTCCCGTGTTAATTGTCCCCTGAGACTTGTCACCGGATCTTTGTCCAAGGAAACTTGCCCACTTGAAGTTAAAAAAGTTACATAAAAAAGCAATGACGTATGATCCACTGGGGGTTGAAAAGGAGACGAAGAAATATGAATTTCAAAATTTTGACAAATGTCTTCTCTATATATTTTTAATTAATCTCTGTTACTGACATGCAACCCTAAACCCCAGTGTCACTTTCTTCGATAAACTGTACTCATTTTAGAACCAAACCTACTTAATTATATTTAAATTTAAATTTAATTTATACAAATTTAATTTATACTTATTTAAATGTGTTTTTTTTTTTTACTGATGAAGGCATGTGCCGAAACATTTACTTGTGTATAATGTATAATTTTTTATTAAAGCGTAACTTATATTGTTATATTGACACAATTTGTTCGTGTCTTATTAATTTAATTCTATTAGGGATAAAATCATATATAACACAAGGAGTTTTCATTTACATTGTACCCAAAAAAATAGGGATCGGATTTCAGTGGACTTCTTTTTTAAATAAGGCGTAAGAATCCACTTGACAAACACTAACCATGAATGAGAACAAAGAGAAGTCATCGTAATTAAGTTGGATTAGTACATTTATCTTTATTTATATCTCTGGTAAAGTATTAAATTAAAAGGTTAGTGTTTTTTAATATTACAACAAATAGAAACGAATTGTTAATGACAATATTATATAAATAATTCAGTAATGTATAGAATAACATTTTTTTCAAAAGTACTTATAGGTGACAGAAAAATTAAATGTCTCATAATAATCTTAATTATAACAACAACAACAAAAAAAACATATAGGAAATAAATGCGATCATTTCCATTGATTATCATTTATTAGCCATAAATCTTCTGGTCATTTTTTAAAATTTATTTGTTTGTGAATTTTTAAACTTCATTCCAATATCAATATGTATTTCTCTACTTTATTATTTTTTTTCTTTCACGCACTATCTTTTTATAAAGACATACATTAAAACGTATTTTTACTGGATTAATTAGGAGTGTTGCTCGAGCAGTGTGTGAACAAGGAAAGTTTTTTTTTACACATAATCGAATGTATGTCCAGCGAACCAACATTAAGATAAGAGATGATGCGATTCTTTTAGCGATCAAAAAAAAATTGAAATGTTTTTCGATTGCATTGTACATTTTCAGCACAGAAATAAAACAATTTGAGCACAAGACATCTACATAAGAATAAGATGAAACTGGGAGACATAGTAGACAATGTGTCTACCTTTACACTAGCGCCAGTAGGCCACCTTTTTGTACCAATCCTTTGTACCTTTTCATAAACTTTGCTGTTGGCTTTTTTTCCACCCCTGCATTATATTCCCATGTCTTGTCTCTGATATCTGGATTTACTTCTTGGACATTACAGTCATTTTTCACAAAGACTTCCCATTAATCTTCAAATAATTTAAATCACCTGTATCTCAATATGTCGAGGATGTTCTATATATTTTTCAATCAGCATTCTGTCATCTCCAAAGCTGGATTTAGCTTCCTGTTGGGACAAACGAAAAGCTGACCTACAAGAAAGAAGACATGATTTATTGATATTTGTTTTTATTACATACCAATACTCAAACTTTTGCCACTTATATTTATAGACTCCCAGGGGAGAGATTATTTAAATTTTTTTTTAAATTAAGCCTTTATTTCATACAGTTGAATGTTAAAAGTTAAAAATGGGGTTTGAACACAACAACAATAACACTAATAGACATGAAAACAAATCTGCATTTCTGACCTGGCTTCCTCATCACTATGGGCTATTCTCATGCCCTTCCCACCTCCACCCGCAGAGGCCTTGATCATCACAGGGTACCCTGCAACAGAGGAGATCGTTCGTAGCAACCAAATTTTTGTATTGCTCATACAAATCACAACAGTGATATGCAGCAGTGCTTCTCAAACTTAAAACATTCAGTCGGTAGCCCTAAGCAGTCGTTCTCAAACTTTAGTAGACTTGTGACCCCCTTGTGATAAAACTTTAACAGTGCACTCCCTTAAACTATGTTTCCTTACAGTTCAATGTAATATTGTTGCCCATGATTTAAAATTCATCTCCAAAAAAATCTTGAGACCCCCCCAGAAACGGTCTTGTTGTTGACTACCCAAAGTGTGAGAATCTTTGGTCTCAGTGGAAAATTAAGAAATTGGTGTACACTCAGAATTTTATTTGTCTAAGACAAAATAGGTAATATTGCTGTTTTAAAAGAGTGGATCTAAAAAAAAAAAAGTCATGTACCAATAGAATTGGCCAGTTCCACACAGTGGTCAGCGTCTCTTATTGCCCCATCATAGCCAGGAATCATGTTGACCCCCGCCTTCGCTGCTATACGTTTGCTTTCAATCTTATCTCCCATGGCATGGATGGCCTCGCTGTTGGGTCCAACAAAAGAAACTCCAATCTCTTTCTAAAATAAAACAAAAGTACTCCAGAATTGGACCTGAACTAAAGAATATCGTATAATTCATTTAAAAACATTGGTGATCATTCAATAATAGAAGGTGATGCTTGCTCATACATGTACCCATACACAATGGCAATCTTACTGCCTGACCATACACAATGGCACATCCGTCAACCCATTCACTATGACACATCTGATTGTCTAACTAAAATAACTTCAAAAGTCAACTTGATCATAAATAACTTGAATAGACTTAAAACTCCATAAATAACATAACTATTTGGTATTTACACACAAAAGAATTAAATATTTACACAAAAAAGAATTAAATATTTACACACAAAACAATTCAATATTTACACACAGATCAAACAAAAATAACTTACTAATCGAGCTGCAAAAACTGTATTTTCTGATAAAAAACCATACCCAGGGTGTACCTGGCAAAACATCAAAATTTGTCCACGTTAAATTTCATAGTAATTCAATTAAGCTAGTTACAATTATTATTAAAGCGTAAAATCTTCTTTCCTTGATGCTTCCATTGTCAATCCCCATTGTTATGAACACTAAAATATCTACTACCCCCCAGGTCGCATGCTTAAATAAACACAAATCTTGTTATGGAAGAAACTTGGAACGCAGAAAAGGTTTTTACAAATTTTAGAAAGCACTCACAGCCTGAGCTCCTGTTTCCTGCACGGCTCTCAAGATTTTGTCCATCCTCAGGTAACTTTCACTAGTTGGAGCCGGTCCAATACAGATGGCTTCATCTGCCATCCGAGTATGGACCTATTGGTGATTTGATATTTTGATAGGTCAAACAACACTGACCTTTTAGGCTAGAATAGTCACTTCTTTAAGAACTCAAAAACATCTAGTGGATTACAATATTTATAAACAGTAAACAGAGATTATGATGTAATATACCTCCATAACTTTCATATTTCTGATTTGAAAAAAAGAGCTTTAACCACAATATTCTATTAGTAGATATCCACTGCAGTTTTGCCTGATTTTGTATTATAATATAAAGAACTGTACTTACAGCTAATGAATCTGCTTCACTATGTACCGCCACAGTTTTAATTCCCAGACGTTTACAAGTGTTCATTATACGACATGCAATCTCTCCACGATTTGCAATCAAGACTTTTTCAAATTTCTGTAAAAATAACAAATATAAATAGTCTACAAAATAAATATAAAGTAATGCTGGTTTGTTAGAATATATTCTGTATAGTTCATTAAAAGCCAACAAACATTCATTAAGATGTTCCAGCAAATTAAGTTTATCACTAGTGATGTTTGAACAGTTTCATGTGGTTTGTTTGTTTTGAATGGGGACAACTTTGTGAATGACGGTTTGTTGTATTGAATATGGACAACTTTGTGAATGGTGATTTCTGTTGTTTTGAAGGCACAAAGCAATGAATAATAGCTAGGGTTTCAATTTCTTAAATAAAAAAATTATGTGTTAAATTGACTTAACTCTTTCTCTCCAGAAATAATTTCAGTGTTCTGACGAATTATCTATTTTTGCATATTTGTTAGGCACTACTATGCTATCTCTAAACCATCATAACTTTTTTGTTTTTCATCAGAAAATGGTAAGTTTGGTATGGAATTAAATGGTAATGTATGCCCTTTACAAGCAAACCAGACTTGGATTTAAATTTTAACATAGAAATGTGATTATGATTTAAGGAAAATAAACATTTTAAATAGAAAATTCACCATTGTTCACAAAACGCTCATTCCATGCCACACAAAGAGAAATATATAATCCAAAGTGTAAAAAAAATGTTTTTTTCTGAACTATATTCGTATGTGCATCACTAATAATAAAGATCAACTTAAAAAAAATAAAAAATTAAAAAAACGGAGCATTATCCATTGTCACCGCCACACAAAAATTTCTGAATTTTAAAAAAAAAACTATTTCCACTGGAAACAATCTGTTGCTATTAGAAAATTTTTGCACTGTATCCTTGTATGTACTAACATTGATTATGGTAAATGGAAAATTTACCATAAATATGTTATACCTTTTCATCTGGTTTTAGCTATGGTAAGCCTAAAAAACAATCCATATGGATGTGCACTTTAGCTGGGGGTGGGGCTGGTTGTACATCACCTGATGAATTACCAGTTTCATTATTTCGTCACTAGAACTATTAATACTATTACTAGGATTATAATTATATGATTCATCAGAATCAGCCTTTGCATCTGAAATCATAAAATCATCAGCAGAGTAATATTTTCAACCTTTATTAGATCAATTACCAGATGGGTCAGGTCAAGATTTTATGTTTGAAAACAAAAATAAAATGGAAAATCAAAACAGCTTCAAACACTTCGTTCTATGTAAAAACTTGTTCAAATAAAGAAAAACCGAATGTTTTCCAATGGAAATCATTCTAGAATTGATTTAAAATGATTAAAAACCAATTGCTTAGGATAGAAACAGGTTTTTATACATTGACAATCGATACGCCAAAATCTTAATTTCAAATAGACGATGGAAGCGTTGATACGGAGAGAAAGAGTTAAGCAGCGCTCTCCTAAACTGTGATATATGGAAGGCTTGTAAACGGTTAAACATAATTTTTTTTTTCCTTCACGCGACAAGTACCCAAAAAAGACAAAAAACTTGTTCAAGGAAAGATACAATTTTATGGTTCAGCGAATTTTAAATTGACATTTTTTTAGCTTGTCTTTAAGACTATTTTTTATGGCAGATCCTTATTTAGCAAAAAGAATTTAAATGGGTTCTGCATACCGCTTCATCGGGCAAACACTTGTCATTCCAGTACATGTCTCGGTCATAGAACTTCATAGTTGAGGCAACTGCTCGCTTGTGACTGCACCGGTGTAGACTTAGATTAAAATTCTGGGGCAATACGCAAAGATGAATAATTAAATTAGTAACAAATACATGTGTTAGACATAAGTATGTTTTAAGATTGTACATAAATTACATAACATCTACATACCATCAATCCCTTACAGTGCCGTAATCCAGTATTGGGGTACCTACCTTACATGAAAAGCATTTTATTATCTTAAAATATAAAAAGACATTCAAGGCTTAAACCATTACCCATAGAAGTGAGCCAAAAAAGTTTAACTTTGAACCTCAAAATCATTGCAGCATTTAGAATAAGTCATAGCAATGTGTTGCCTATTAACTTTTAATCATATTTTCTCCTATTACATATGCTATGTACATCAATTAACATGCAAAAGCATTACATTTACATGACATTGGAATTTCTTTTACTTTAAGCATTTTAAAAGTAACAAAATAATATTCTTAACACTTATTAAAAAGTGTTTTTGGTATTTTGTATCTGTATTTTTGTATTTTACAATAGTGAATTCTTCATTTTCCATAGAATTTTCATTTATTTTCGCCTTAAAAAAAAAAATTTGGTTTGTAATTTTTTTCTTCTTTAAATTTCAAGCAATAGTCTACACAAAAAAAAGCTATTGAAGTTTAGGTAAAAAATAAAACTTAATATTAATTCTTATCTACAACATCTACTAATATGAGATATGTTTGCATGTTGGCGTTGGTCTATCATGTCTATCTTATTTTCTGATATAAAAAAAAAAAGGTAGTGCAAAGGCATTGAAAGGCAAAAGCAATGGGGAAATGAGTAGTGCTGATTACAGGGGGATTACAGTTAACAAAACTGATATTTGTTAGTATTTCTAGTTATGTATAGCTATGGGCCTAAAGTACTTTAGTACGATTAACCCCATGACCATGGCCATGGCATTAAATTAACCTAGACCTAGGACTAGTCCTACTGTCCTAGTTACCTATTTTTTGGACAAATAACCTCAATAAGACACATTTTCGAGGTATGCCTCATCAAAGAAAAAAATAATTAATGTTAAAGTACACAATTTACCAAAATTTCATATGATGCAAATATAAGAAAATCAAAAATACCTTCTTAGAGAACTGAAATAACCTAAAAATTACTCTGGCTCTCAAGTTGTATCCGTGGAAATTCACGGGCGCAGCCATATTATAAGATAAAATAAAATTTCGGAATTGTTTTTAAAAACACAGGGCAACAGAACAATAATCTTGAAATATCTTTCCAGCGTTTTTTGTTTTGTTTTTTTGTTGTTTTTTTATACTCCTCCACTACCGCTCACTTCACGTGAAAGTTGTGAATTTGTATTCATTTTGTTTAGCTTTCATTTACTTTTTTTTAAAGATTTTTAAACACAAAGTCATAATAGTATTAATAGGATTAGGACACAGAATTTTAAAAAATGTGATGGCTGATGGTGTCAATTTGTCACAATTTGTGTTTCTTATTTTTGTTGGTCGGGAATAATAAAAAGTAAGAAAGTATAAATTTGTTTCAACATAGCCATAGCAAATTAAGACATGACTATGGGGGAAAAAAACAAAAAACACCGTAATTTAAAACAGAATGTTTATTTTTAATTACTCACTCACTATATCATACACAGATACGCACACAATTTTATTGGGTCATGTGATCACAGTAACATATGCCTTTGGAGTAGCCTACTATTATTGGAGGTAAACAAGTTAGGTTGGGGGGGGGGTGTTCACGAATTACGTCACGTTCAGAGGGTGGGGAGGGGATCGAGAATTTGTGACACTTTGTGACCAGGGGAAAGGGGGGGGGGGGGGGAAAAAATTTGGGTGGGAAATTTTTTAAAATTTTTTTTTTTTTTTGAAAAAAATGAGTCATCAGAAGAACCAGGCCTTGCCGCCAATTTTCGAATAAATAATATTCAAAGCAAAACT